CTGAGAGTGTGTGTGAGAGTGTGTGTTTACCTGTCTGAGAGTGTGTGTGTGAGAGTGTGTCTGAGAGTGTGTGTTTACCTGTCTGAGAGTGTGTGTGAGAGTGTGTGTGAGAGTGTGTGTTTACCTGTCTGAGAGTGTGTGTGAGAGTGTGTGTTTACCTGTCTGAGAGTGTGTGTGAGAGTGTGTGTTTACCTGTCTGAGAGTGTGTCTGAGAGTGTGTGTGAGAGTGTGTGTTTACCTGTCTGAGAGTGTGTCTGAGAGTGTGTGTGAGAGTGTGTGTTTACCTGTCTGAGAGTGTGTGTGAGAGTGTGTGTGAGAGTGTGTGTTTACCTGTCTGAGAGTGTGTCTGAGAGTGTGTGTGAGAGTGTGTGTTTACCTGTCTGAGAGTGTGTGTGAGAGTGTGTGTGAGAGTGTGTGTTTACCTGTCTGAGAGTGTGTGTGAGAGTGTGTGTTTACCTGTCTGAGAGTGTGTGTGAGAGTGTGTGTGAGAGTGTGTGTGAGAGTGTGTGTTTACCTGTCTGAGTGTGTGTGTGAGAGTGTGTGTTTACCTGTCTGAGAGTGTGTGTGAGAGTGTGTGTTTACCTGTCTGAGAGTGTGTCTGAGAGTGTGTGTGAGAGTGTGTGTTTACCTGTCTGAGAGTGTGTGTGAGAGTGTGTGTGAGAGTGTGTGTTTACCTGTCTGAGAGTGTGTGTGAGTGTGTGTTTACCTGTCTGAGAGTGTGTGTGAGAGTGTGTGTTTACCTGTCTGAGAGTGTGTCTGAGAGTGTGTGTGAGAGTGTGTGTTTACCTGTCTGAGAGTGTGTGTGAGAGTGTGTGTGAGAGTGTGTGTTTACCTGTCTGAGAGTGTGTGTGAGAGTGTGTGTTTACCTGTCTGAGAGTGTGTGTGAGAGTGTGTCTGAGAGTGTGTGTTTACCTGTCTGAGAGTGTGTGTGAGAGTGTGTGTTTACCTGTCTGAGAGTGTGTGTTTACCTGTCTGAGAGTGTGTGTGAGAGTGTGTCTGAGAGTGTGTGTTTACCTGTCTGAGAGTGTGTGTGAGAGTGTGTGTTTACCTGTCTGAGAGTGTGTGTGAGAGTGTGTGTTTACCTGTCTGAGAGTGTGTGTGAGTGTGTGTTTACCTGTCTGAGAGTGTGTGTGAGAGTGTGTGTTTACCTGTCTGAGAGTGTGTGTGAGAGTGTGTGTTTACCTGTCTGAGAGTGTGTGTGAGAGTGTGTGTTTACCTGTCTGAGAGTGTGTGTGAGAGTGTGTGTTTACCTGTCTGAGAGTGTGTGTGAGAGTGTGTGTTTACCTGTCTGAGAGTGTGTGTGAGAGTGTGTGTTTACCTGTCTGAGAGTGTGTGTGTTTACCTGTCTAAGAGTGTGTGTGAGAGTGTGTGTTTACCTGTCTGAGAGTGTGTGTTTACCTCTCTGAGAGTGTGTCTGAGAGTGTGTGTGAGAGTGTGTGTTTACCTGTCTGAGAGTGTGTGTGAGAGTGTGTGTTTACCTGTCTGAGAGTGTGTGTGTGAGAGTGTGTCTGAGAGTGTGTGTTTACCTGTCTGAGAGTGTGTGTGAGAGTGTGTGTTTACCTGTCTGAGAGTGTGTGTGAGAGTGTGTGTTTACCTGTCTGAGAGTGTGTGTGAGAGTGTGTGTTTACCTGTCTGAGAGTGTGTCTGAGAGTGTGTGTGAGAGTGTGTGTTTACCTGTCTGAGAGTGTGTGTGAGAGTGTGTGTGAGAGTGTGTGTTTACCTGTCTGAGAGTGTGTCTGAGAGTGTGTGTGAGAGTGTGTGTTTACCTGTCTGAGAGTGTGTCTGAGAGTGTGTGTGAGAGTGTGTGTTTACCTGTCTGAGAGTGTGTGTGAGAGTGTGTGTTTACCTGTCTGAGAGTGTGTCTGAGAGTGTGTGTGAGAGTGTGTGTTTACCTGTCTGAGAGTGTGTGTGAGAGTGTGTGTGAGAGTGTGTGTTTACCTGTCTGAGAGTGTGTGTGAGAGTGTGTGTGAGAGTGTGTGTTTACCTGTCTGAGAGTGTGTCTGAGAGTGTGTGTTTACCTGTCTGAGAGTGTGTCTGAGAGTGTGTGTGAGAGTGTGTGTTTACCTGTCTGAGAGTGTGTGTGAGAGTGTGTGTTTACCTGTCTGAGAGTGTGTGTGTGAGAGTGTGTCTGAGAGTGTGTGTTTACCTGTCTGAGAGTGTGTGTGAGAGTGTGTGTTTACCTGTCTGAGAGTGTGTGTGAGAGTGTGTGTTTACCTGTCTGAGAGTGTGTGTGAGAGTGTGTGTTTACCTGTCTGAGAGTGTGTCTGAGAGTGTGTGTGAGAGTGTGTGTTTACCTGTCTGAGAGTGTGTGTGAGAGTGTGTGTGAGAGTGTGTGTTTACCTGTCTGAGAGTGTGTCTGAGAGTGTGTGTGAGAGTGTGTGTTTACCTGTCTGAGAGTGTGTGTGAGAGTGTGTGTGAGAGTGTGTGTTTACCTGTCTGAGAGTGTGTGTGAGAGTGTGTGTTTACCTGTCTGAGAGTGTGTCTGAGAGTGTGTGTGAGAGTGTGTGTTTACCTGTCTGAGAGTGTGTGTGAGAGTGTGTGTGAGAGTGTGTGTTTACCTGTCTGAGAGTGTGTGTGAGAGTGTGTGTTTACCTGTCTGAGAGTGTGTGTGAGAGTGTGTGTTTACCTGTCTGAGAGTGTGTGTGAGAGTGTGTCTGAGAGTGTGTGTTTACCTGTCTGAGAGTGTGTGTGAGAGTGTGTGTTTACCTGTCTGAGAGTGTGTGTTTACCTGTCTGAGAGTGTGTGTGAGAGTGTGTCTGAGAGTGTGTGTTTACCTGTCTGAGAGTGTGTGTGAGAGTGTGTGTTTACCTGTCTGAGAGTGTGTGTGAGAGTGTGTGTTTACCTGTCTGAGAGTGTGTGTGAGAGTGTGTGTTTACCTGTCTGAGAGTGTGTGTGAGTGTGTGTTTACCTGTCTGAGAGTGTGTGTGAGAGTGTGTGTTTACCTGTCTGAGAGTGTGTGTGAGAGTGTGTGTTTACCTGTCTGAGAGTGTGTGTGAGAGTGTGTGTTTACCTGTCTGAGAGTGTGTGTGAGAGTGTGTGTTTACCTGTCTGAGAGTGTGTGTGAGAGTGTGTGTTTACCTGTCTGAGAGTGTGTGTGAGAGTGTGTGTTTACCTGTCTGAGAGTGTGTGTGAGAGTGTGTGTTTACCTGTCTGAGAGTGTGTGTGAGAGTGTGTGTTTACCTGTCTGAGAGTGTGTGTGAGAGTGTGTGTTTACCTGTCTGAGAGTGTGTGTGAGAGTGTGTGTTTACCTGTCTGAGAGTGTGTGTGAGAGTGTGTGTTTACCTGTCTGAGAGTGTGTGTGAGAGTGTGTGTTTACCTGTCTGAGAGTGTGTGTGAGAGTGTGTGTGTTTACCTGTCTGAGAGTGTGTGTGAGAGTGTGTGTTTACCTGTCTGAGAGTGTGTGTGAGAGTGTGTGTTTACCTGTCTGAGAGTGTGTGTGAGAGTGTGTGTTTACCTGTCTGAGAGTGTGTGTGAGAGTGTGTGTTTACCTGTCTGAGAGTGTGTGTGAGAGTGTGTGTTTACCTGTCTGAGAGTGTGTGTGAGAGTGTGTGTGAGAGTGTGTGTTTACCTGTCTGAGAGTGTGTCTGAGAGTGTGTGTGAGAGTGTGTGTTTACCTGTCTGAGAGTGTGTGTGAGAGTGTGTGTGAGAGTGTGTGTTTACCTGTCTGAGAGTGTGTGTGAGAGTGTGTGTTTACCTGTCTGAGAGTGTGTCTGAGAGTGTGTGTGAGAGTGTGTGTTTACCTGTCTGAGAGTGTGTGTGAGAGTGTGTGTGAGAGTGTGTGTTTACCTGTCTGAGAGTGTGTGTGAGAGTGTGTGTTTACCTGTCTGAGAGTGTGTGTGAGAGTGTGTGTTTACCTGTCTGAGAGTGTGTGTGAGAGTGTGTCTGAGAGTGTGTGTTTACCTGTCTGAGAGTGTGTGTGAGAGTGTGTGTTTACCTGTCTGAGAGTGTGTGTTTACCTGTCTGAGAGTGTGTGTGAGAGTGTGTCTGAGAGTGTGTGTTTACCTGTCTGAGAGTGTGTGTGAGAGTGTGTGTTTACCTGTCTGAGAGTGTGTGTGAGAGTGTGTGTTTACCTGTCTGAGAGTGTGTGTGAGAGTGTGTGTTTACCTGTCTGAGAGTGTGTGTGAGTGTGTGTTTACCTGTCTGAGAGTGTGTGTGAGAGTGTGTGTTTACCTGTCTGAGAGTGTGTGTGAGAGTGTGTGTTTACCTGTCTGAGAGTGTGTGTGAGAGTGTGTGTTTACCTGTCTGAGAGTGTGTGTGAGAGTGTGTGTTTACCTGTCTGAGAGTGTGTGTGAGAGTGTGTGTTTACCTGTCTGAGAGTGTGTGTGAGAGTGTGTGTTTACCTGTCTGAGAGTGTGTGTGAGAGTGTGTGTTTACCTGTCTGAGAGTGTGTGTGAGAGTGTGTGTTTACCTGTCTGAGAGTGTGTGTGAGAGTGTGTGTTTACCTGTCTGAGAGTGTGTGTGAGAGTGTGTGTTTACCTGTCTGAGAGTGTGTGTGAGAGTGTGTGTTTACCTGTCTGAGAGTGTGTGTGAGAGTGTGTGTTTACCTGTCTGAGAGTGTGTGTGAGAGTGTGTGTGTTTACCTGTCTGAGAGTGTGTGTGAGAGTGTGTGTTTACCTGTCTGAGAGTGTGTGTGAGAGTGTGTGTTTACCTGTCTGAGAGTGTGTGTGAGAGTGTGTGTTTACCTGTCTGAGAGTGTGTGTGAGAGTGTGTGTTTACCTGTCTGAGAGTGTGTGTGAGAGTGTGTGTTTACCTGTCTGAGAGTGTGTGTGAGAGTGTGTGTTTACCTGTCTGAGAGTGTGTCTGAGAGTGTGTGTTTACCTGTCTGAGAGTGTGTGTGAGAGTGTGTGTTTACCTGTCTGAGAGTGTGTGTGAGAGTGTGTGTTTACCTGTCTGAGAGTGTGTGTGAGAGTGTGTTTTTACCTGTCTGAGAGTGTGTGTGAGAGTGTGTGTTTACCTGTCTGAGAGTGTGTGTGAGAGTGTGTGTTTACCTGTCTGAGAGCCTGTCTGAGAGCTCACTGTCCGCATCGCCTCTGTCCTCGAGCAGCGGAGCCACAGAAGGGGCCGTCTCCTCACCGGCGTCTGCAACGTCAAACACACACACCTTACACACACTACGCGACCTCACAGGCGGTGGAAGGAGCTGGATATATTGGATCAACCGTGGAGCAACGGATCACAAGAGTTATGAGGGTGTGTTACGAGGGTGTGTCACGAGTGTGTGTTACGAGGGTGTGTTACGAGGGTGTGTCACGAGTGTGTGTTACGAGAGTGTGTTACGAGAGTGTGTTACGAGGGTGTGTCACGAGAGTGTGTTATGAGAGTGTGTTATGAGTGTGTGTCACTAGTGTGTGTTATGAGGGTGTGTTACGAGAGTGTGTTATGAGAGTGTGTTATGAGTGTGTGTCACTAGTGTGTGTTATGAGTGTGTGTTACGAGAGTGTGTTATGAGGGTGTGTCACTAGTGTGTGTTATGAGTGTGTGTCACGAGAGTGTGTTATGAGGGTGTGTCACGAGTGTGTGTTATGAGTGTGTGTTACGAGTGTGTGTCACGAGAGTGTGTTATGAGGGTGTGTCTCACCTGGTGTCCCGCTGGCTTCGGCGGATCCGCTGTTAGCTCTCCGCTGCTGATCACTGTGTGCCTGAGCTCTGTCCTCACACTGAGTCCCAGCGCTAGACCGCGTGTCCATCTCGTAGCTGTGCCCGTCCACACACACCCACACCAGCTTCAGCGCGCCTCGGCACTGGCCCTCCAGCGCCTCCTGCAGGCCGGGGGGGGAGCGGCAGCCGCTCGCGTGTGTGTGAGCCCACGACACCAGGCTGTGCAGAACACTCCTGTCTGAGGAGATGTGGGAGCCTGGACAACACGAGAGCAGTGAGACGAGACCACACACACACACTCACACACACTCACACACACACACACACACACACACACACTCACACTCACACTCACACACACTCACAGACACACACACACTCACAGACACACACACACACTCACTCACACTCTCACACACACATACACACACACACACAGACAGACAGACACACACTCACACTTACACACACACACACACACACACACACAGACAGACACACACACACCTGTCTGAGGAGATGTGGGAGCCTGGACAACACGAGAGCAGTGAGACGAGACCACACACACACACACACTCACACACACACACACACACACTCACACACACACACACACACACTCACAGACACACACACACACTCACTCACACTCACACACACATACACACACACACACAGACAGACAGACACACACTCACACTTACACACACACACACACACACACACACTCACACACACACACACACACACACACACACACACACTCACACTCACACTCACACACACTCACAGACACACACACACTCACAGACACACACACACACACACACACACACACTCACAGACACACACACACACTCACTCACACTCTCACACACACATACACACACACACACAGACAGACAGACACACACTCACACTTACACACACACACACACACACACACACACAGACAGACACACACACACCTGTCTGAGGAGATGTGGGAGCCTGGACAACACGAGAGCAGTGAGACGAGACCACACACACACACACACACACACACACACGTCTGTATACTTACGGAATAAAGCCATGTCTTCCTGTGGGGACGAGCGTTCAGTGCTGCTCCTGAAGATGACAACACACAAACCACAACCATCCAATCAATTCCTCACGGACACAATCAGTGTCCCCAATCAATTACAGTTATGAGTATGAGTATATTGGTGAAGCTGGAGACGTGTGTGTGTGTGTGTGTGTGTGGGTGTGTGTGTGTGGGTGTGCTGAGGTCACCTGTCTCTGGCGAGGGGCGTCAGGTTGACTCTGTTCCTGAAGTCCAGGAGGATGCTGTGGCACTTGTAGAACTGGGCGTGGCAGCTGTTGCAGATGAACTGGGACAGAGCCGGGTCTCGATCCATGGGGATCCCCAGCAGCTGCTGGAAGTCTGAGCAGAAGAGCGGATACACACCACACGCCTCGCCCTGAAGCTGCGCAAACGCCTGACGCAGACGCCGCGTGGAGAACTTCCCGTGACACAGGCGACAGAAGCCCGTGCTCATCCTGCCTGTGAGAGCAGAGGTCAAAGGTCAGAGCATTATCAGACCGACACAGGCGACAGAAGCCCGTGCTCATCCTGCCTGTGAGAGCAGAGGTCAAAGGTCAGAGCATTATCAGACCGACACAGGCGACAGAAGCCCGTGCTCATCCTGCCTGTGTGAGCAGAGGTCAAAGGTCAGAGCATTATCAGACCGACACAGGCGACAGAAGCCCGTGCTCATCCTGCCTGTGAGAGCAGAGGTCAAAGGTCAGAGCATTATCAGACCGACACAGGCGACAGAAGCCCGTGCTCATCCTGTCTGTGAGAGAGCAGAGGTCAAAGGTCAGAGCATTATCAGACCGACACAGGTGACAGAAGCCCGTGCTCATCCTGCCTGTGAGAGAGCAGGTCAAAGGTCAGAGCATTATCAGACCGACACAGGCGACAGAAGCCCGTGCTCATCCTGCCTGTGAGAGAGCAGAGGTCAAAGGTCAGAGCATTATCAGACCGACACAGGCGACAGAAGCCCGTGCTCATCCTGCCTGTGAGAGAGCAGGTCAAAGGTCAGAGCATTATCAGACCGACACAGGCGACAGAAGCCCGTGCTCATCCTGCCTGTGAGAGAGCAGAGGTCAAAGGTCAGAGCATTATCAGACCGACACAGGCGACAGAAGCCCGTGCTCATCCTGCCTGTGAGAGAGCAGGTCAAAGGTCAGAGCATTATCAGACCGACACAGGCGACAGAAGCCCGTGCTCATCCTGCCTGTGAGAGCAGAGGTCAAAGGTCAGAGCATTATCAGACCGACACAGGCGACAGAAGCCCGTGCTCATCCTGCCTGTGTGAGCAGAGGTCAAAGGTCAGAGCATTATCAGACCGACACAGGCGACAGAAGCCCGTGCTCATCCTGCCTGTGAGAGAGCAGAGGTCAAAGGTCAGAGCATTATCAGACCGACACAGGCGACAGAAGCCCGTGCTCATCCTGCCTGTGTGAGCAGAGGTCAAAGGTCAGAGCATTATCAGACCGACACAGGCGACAGAAGCCCGTGCTCATCCTGCCTGTGAGAGAGCAGAGGTCAAAGGTCAGAGCATTATCAGACCGACACAGGCGACAGAAGCCCGTGCTCATCCTGCCTGTGTGAGCAGAGGTCAAAGGTCAGAGCATTATCAGACCGACACAGGCGACAGAAGCCCGTGCTCATCCTGCCTGTGAGAGCAGAGGTCAAAGGTCAGAGCATTATCAGACCGACACAGGCGACAGAAGCCCGTGCTCATCCTGCCTGTGAGAGCAGAGGTCAAAGGTCAGAGCATTATCAGACCGACACAGGCGACAGAAGCCCGTGCTCATCCTGCCTGTGAGAGCAGAGGTCAAAGGTCAGAGCATTATCAGACCGACACAGGCGACAGAAGCCCGTGCTCATCCTGCCTGTGAGAGCAGAGGTCAAAGGTCAGACACAGGAGGCACTAACTCTCAGTTTAATGAAACTGTTCTTGTTGGAGGTTAAATGTAAACTTAAACATGAGCTACAACAAATTAATTTAAATGAAATAAAAATGTTACCAGGTGGAGAATATACCCTTAAACAAACAACAGACATGCGTCGGAGAATAATGTCCTTTACCTGTTCATTTTTTATATTTGAATAAAAGTCAAGTTTTTATGAAAACTACCTTATGTGCATTTAAATGTTTGTATCAACTTTACTTGACTGTTTAATTATATCTGAAACATTAGCAGTTGAGCATTAGCCATTTATAGACTGAATTTAGACTGAACATTTGCACTACTGATGAATGCCTTTTCTTTGATACTTTACAATTAGAAAATAAAATAAATAAATGAAAACATTAAAATAAACAAAAGCTGGTATTTTTATGAGATATGATTGAATAAAACACTGAAAAAATAAAAATAGTACCAATGGGTTAATCAACTATCGGATGAATCTTTTTGAAAAAAAATCTATAGATTAATCGACTAATCGAAACACAACTGATAGATTAATCGAGTTATGAGCAGCCCTGGGTTGCCAGGTCCGCGGTTAAAGGTTATATATGTTGCATAAATTGTATTTGACTAAAATGATTGTATTTAAATATTTTACATGAATTCCACCAATGATAAAACTGCTAGATGATGCTTTCTGAGAGGAAAACTGACCGTTTATGATTACTAGGCTACTGTTTAAGTTGATATGAGTATGAGCAGCTGTAATGTGTGTGTTCTTCATCAGGGTATCTGCACACTTTTTAAAGTCAAATTTAAGGCTTTTTAAGACCTTTTTAAGACCTGAAGAAATCAAAATTAATACCTTACATTAGGGGTGCGCAATATTGAAAAAAAAAATGTCTCAATATTTTCAAAGTTTTGTTGATGATAATTAGATGATATTTTACTGATTGTGTTTGTGTACTGGTACCATGGCTGGTTTAGGCCTGTTGTTGACAGCTGACTCACGAAGATATTCATATTTTTCATATTCTATGCAGTGGTCAGTTCACAGCAGTGAAAGGAATTAACATTTTTTATTAAAGGGCAATATTTGCAACCTTAAATTGAGTTCCAGGGGCATTTTCACCCATATATGGACTTTTTTTTTTTTTACTTAGAGGTATGCATCACCTTTAATGTCAAATTCTAACATTCAAATTAAATTATATTAGAATAATAACACAATACCACTGTTACCAGTTATATTAAATCATTAAATCAAAATCCATCTTTGCAGTGCAGAGGAGACACAGAAGCAGCATCAGAACTGGCATTAATATATTTATACTCCATTTACAATTGCATAAATAAAGCTATGATATATTCAATTCTTTCAATTCTTAATTCAATATTTAAATATGAACTGATTTCTAATTGTAACATTTTAATTACAGGGTACTTTAAATGTGAAACTAAACCCGCCAGTAGGTGGCGGCAAGTCACTGTCTCAGGGAGTCATTCATTCAACCGATTTGTTCAAACGGCTGATTCATTCAGGAACTGCAAGTGATTGTTCATTGAATCGTTAAAATGATTCGTTCAAAACGCGGATTTCAGTCAAGAAATCATCGCTGTCTTTTGCATTGAGACTCTGCTACGGTTTCATTTTGAAATTCTCGTCAGCGAAATAAAGGGAAAACAAACAATATTGACAATATTGTTTATAAAATGTAACAATGTTAATTTAACTGTTATATAAAATAAATATCATATTTGCTATTGTGCACGGGAAAACAGCCCTCTTGCTGATGTAATATTGATAACAACATATGATATATAAAATACAAAAACTTTATACGTCTTAGGGAACATACCTATAACTGCACTGACACATCACGCAGTGAAAGCAAGCATGAGAGACAAATGCGATGTCAGCTCGCAGTGCGCCCTCGTACATAGTTAACGTTAAAGTAAAACAATGAGTACAATATCATAATAGACAATACACATCGCACACCACTACGCACATAAAGAATGAACTTACAATTGAACTGAAATTAACCAGCTTTCTTCTCCTCTCCTGCTGTTTCGCGTGCAGGAGACAGACGTAATGCTGGCGCGAAATGTCACGTGAACGAGCAAATCCACAAAGAACGAATAATAAATAAAAAAGTACGCTAATTAGATAGTTTTAATTTGGAAAACATTTAGATATGTCTAACTCAAATTGCCATTGAAAATTTAAGACCTTTCATAAGTCAAAATAAGACTTTTAAAGGCCATACATTTTTAAAATCTAATTTAAGACTTTTTAAGGACCCGCGGATACCCTGTATGGGAATGTGTTCTGGTGTTGGGTCATTAGCAGGCTTTGACTGGTTTTACACAGACCTGGCAACCCTGAGAATACGAGGCAGTCACTTAACATGCTAACATGTAAACCGCAGCTCCTGAAACCTGTCAGAATGAATGGATAAATGAGCAGTCATCATCCTCATCATCCTCTCACCCGCGTCATCTTCATCAGTCTTCGCGCGTTTACTCGCTCTGCTCCTCCTCTTCATCATCTTCACTCATCAATACTTCATCGATATCTGATCTGATTATGAGTCACACACGTCAATCATCTCATCGGCGGTTCACCGCGCGCGCTCTGCAAGCGGAACTTATGTACAATCTTCCCCAATAAATATCATTTATAAGCGGATACATATGATATGGTCAAATATTTCATGAAAACACGACGGTGCAAGACACGACCGGAAGCGCTCTGCTGTCTGTCAACAGGAGTAGCGGATGTGACGTCACTTAGCAGAACAGGGCCACAGCACCGCTCACGGACGGGTGTTTTCTTTTACTATTATTTTTTTATATTCTTTATATTAACTACACGTTTAATTTTTTGTAGTTTTCTTAATACTTATTGTTGTGTTCTAATGTAGTTGTTTCACATTGTTTTTATATTTCTATTCACCTATAATTTAATTAAAAGATATTTAAATTTATGAATTTAGCAAAAAAATAATAACATAGTGTTCTTTCCTTTTATTTGAGGGAATATTTGTCCTTACATTGAGAGCAGTGTGAAAATAAATGCATCACTATCTCACTTTACGTTGACTCAACCAACCTCAACATTTCCCCACACCCACGGGAAGTGCGTGCAGTCTCGCGAGACTCGGAAGTGGAGCTGAGATCAGACTGATTCCGCTGAGAGCTGCTTACTCGAGCGTGTGACGCTTCTCTAGCGCGATGCGAAGAATTCAATCCCAGTTATCAGCACGAATCATAAGTAAACGCGTCTAAATCTCTGACAGGATCAGTAATGGAGGTCAACTCGAGCGGCGCGTCTCCTAAAGAGGAGGGCGAGCTGGAGGACGGAGAAATCTTCGACGACGAGCCGCAGAGGCAGAACGCGAGGCCTCCGCGACGCGCCCGGCCCAACCGGCCCGCGATGAACAAGAGAGCGCGTTTACCGGGACCGGGGCTCAACAATAACGCCCCGCTGCCGCTGAGAGCCGCTCACCCGCCCTTCCCCTTCGACGCGACGCCGCGGTCCGGCTTCTGGGAGCGCAGTCACGGCGCGTTGGGCCGCTTCAGGTGCCGCGACTGGACCCGCGACTGGACGGAGAACCGCGGCTGCAGGATCGAGTCTCCCGGGAGGAAGCGTATCCTTACACCAGTCGCTACACTCGAGCCGAACCACCACAGGAACTCTGTGGCAGAATATCACGGTATAACCGTGACATGAAGTAACGTTAAGTTACGCTTTATTTTAAGGTGTCGTTGTTACAGTGTAATTATATATTGTACTGAGTAATATTAAGCAACAACATGTAACTCACTATAGGGTTAGGGTAGGATTTGGTTGAGGGTTATGCATAATTTACTGTTATTACTGTACATTTAACACATGTAACAATAACACTGTAAAATAAAGTGTTACCAAATAGTATAATCTGATACCACTGTTTCATGGTACTATAATAATGTGGTCATGATATGACTGCTGTATTTACACTTTTATATTCCTGTTCCAATGTCTCTCCAATCTTGTGCTTTAAGTCCAGCCAGTCGATGCTGCTACTGTGACTTTAAGACTTCGGTATGTAAATGTGGTGTTTTGTGATGATTGGTTAACCGCTGTGCACGTGACTGTGATTATGTGTTTACGATAGGGCTGCACAATTAATCGAATTCGTAATCGCGATTACTATTATGAATGCAACCACAATTATGTAATCGTTTAAAGGCGAAATGACTTATTCTGTGTGCTTAAGATGTTTGTTTTTCTTTCTAAAGCTTATCTTAAGGGTTTCCCCCCATTGTTTTAGTTTTAGTATAACATTATAATACCATGTATATTATTTACTTTGGTTTGTTTTTTTTAATAAATGTTTTATATATATATATATATTTGAAATTTGAGGCTTAATGCTATAGATGCCATATATATATATATATATATATATATATATATATATAAATTAAAGAAACCAAAGTAAATATATGGTATTATATAAAAGCAAAATAAAGTGTTTCAGGAAGAGTTTTCAGGTTGTTTAACTCTATGGCATGCGGTCGCTTCAAGATATAATTTATTGGCATAAAGATATTCAAGACATCATTCACTATAAATTGTGATAATCGCAATAACAATTTCAAGGGAATAATCGACAATTATGATTTGTCATAATGGTGCAGCCCTAGTGTGTGTGTGTGTGTGTGTGAAGGATGGCTTGTGTCCAGTGTGTGTGTGTGAGCAGGTGAGTGTGAAGGATGGCTGGAGTCCAGTGTGTGCGAGCGGGTGTGTGTGTGCGGATGTCCAGTGAGTGTGTGTGCGGATGTCCAGTGTGTGTGTGTGTGTGCGGATGTCCAGTGAGTGTGTGTGTGTGTGTGTGCAGATGTCCAGTGTGTGTGCAGATGTCCAGTGTGTGTGCGGGTGTCCAGTGTGTGTGTGTGTGTGTGCAGATGTCCAGTGTGTGTGCGATGCTCCTTGACGGCTGCCTCAGAGAAGCCGGCGGGCAGGAGTCAGGCCAGGAGGACCGGGAACAGCTTCCCGAAAGCCCCGGCCGTGGACGAGAGCTTCGAGGTGCTGCTCCTGAAGTACAAGCAGATCCAGCTGGAGCTCGAGGTGATCCGCAAGGAGGAGCGCATGGCCCTGAAGGAGGACGAGGAGCCGGAGCCCGCCGCGGCCCCGCCGGAGGAGAAGGCGCTGGAGGAGAAGAGAGCGTTCCAGGCCTTCAACCTCAAGCCTCTCAGACAGAAGCTGCTGACGCCGGCCGAGAGAGACGCGCTCAACACCGCCAGACCCGAGAGACCCGAGAGAGACACACTCAACACCGCCAGGCCCGAGAGACCCGAGAGAGACACACTCAACACCAGCAGACCCGAGAGAGGCGCTCTGAACACTGAGAGAGACGTGCTGACCACTAGCAGACCCGAGAGAGACGCTCTCAACACCGCCAGAGCCGAGAGACCCGAGAGAGACACACTCAACACCGGCAGACCCGAGAGAGACGCTCTCAACACCGCCAGACCCGAGAGAGACACACTCAACACCAGCAGACCCGAGCCGAGGCCCGACGCCGACCAGCAGAAGGACGTTCAGGATCACGGTATCAACAGTCGGGTCCACTGCAGAATGCCACACACTCCTGTGCTGTAGAGAGCGCATTAGGCCACGCCCACCCCGGGGGTCCACCGTCTGGATTGTGGGAAGCCCCTCCTCATTCATGACTTATAACAAAACACTGTCCAAAGCTGCTGTGTGACGGGTGTACAAATATCCAAATGTCAGTTTTATCTGATATTTCTCTGAGCTGTCCTGTCAGCGCTTGCGTTCTCCAGTGGCGTACGTTAGTTCTCAGAGGACCAGCTCGTCCCAGGGCCGGTCCACCGCTGTGTCCTGAGCGCTCGTGTTCTGGGTCGGCCGCTCACACACACGTGTCTGTGTTCAGCTTGTGTGCTGTACACCCGTCACACAGCAGCTTTAGACGAGGAGACGCTTCACACAACACACACTCAGTGCAGACGGTGGACTGTTCCCCGGTGGGCGTGGCCTTCAGATTATCACGCGTGCCGCTCTCTCTGTTATTATTATTATTATCATTATATTGAGGTATGGAACCAGTGGCATCTTTTGTTGTGTGTTCTCCCAGCTGTGAAGGAAGAGGAGTGTGAACCAGACCTCAACATCTCACCAGTGCCTGACGAGAGTCCAGTCGGCCCAGCCAAGGTACACACACACACACACACACACCTGGAACTCGCTGGACGTCAATACACTGATGCTAAACACTGACCTCACACACACAAACTCCACAAACAGAGCAGAATAGAGATTCAGTGAGTCTATGATGCTACAAATAAACTGAATATTAAACAATATTCACATCTGTAAAGCTGTTGTCCTCAAGCTAATAAGTGAAACATTGAGCGGTTGTTAAAAAATAGGTAATACTTTAGTTTAGGGTCCAATTCTCACTATTAACTAGTTGCAAATTACTCGGATATTGGCTGTTTATTAGAAGTTATAAAGCACATATTAATGCCTTATTCTACATCCCTTAATCCGCCCCTTACTAACTATTAATAAGCAGTAATCAGGAGTTTGATGATTAAGTGTCTTGTTTGGCTGTGGTGTTGAAATGTATTGGACAGGGAAAGGGGAAGTGTGTTAACTTCTGCACACAGTGCCTGATCATGATGAAACGTCAGCTGTGTGTGTGTTGTAGGAGGCCGATCACATGATGGCTACTGTGAGTCATTTTGTAGACAAAACCGTTCGAGATATCAAACATACGGTCGCAATTTAGCATCCTCAATGTCCCGACTTCATGCGGATCGAGTTAATTGTGTGTTTTAAAGTCCCCCTGTAGTCAATAATTCTCTAAACGAAAATTTAAAAACACCACATACACATAGAAACATTTTAAAGCTTGGTTTTCACCACAGGGGGACTTAAAGAATTACAAGCGAAGACATTGAAGATGCTAAATTGTGAACAGATATTGGATATCTTGTCCGTCATCATTGCAACACCGTTCAAGATATCCGATATCTGGTGTGAATAGTAGAAGTTAAAAATTCAGTCTGACTTTTCATGACAAAACCCACATTCAAACCAAAATATCCTGTTGGTCAGAGCTAATGACTGTAAATGAGATAGTTGTCCGGCTCGATGAGAGCATTAGTACTGAGTAAAACTAAAGTCAGAAGGTGGCGCTGCTGAGCTCTCCACGCCGTTTCCAAGGCTCTGCTAGTGTGTGTGTGTCCAGATTCATGTCATCTGAAGCACTCTAATCGAAGAGACTGAACATTACTGTAAGAGACGCCCATTTACTAAACTAATATGATTCATATTCTTTTGGTTTTTCTAAGCAATAAGTACAAATGTGATTAAAGTACAGATTTCAGTATCAGCGTTGTACTCGTTCGGGGGGAAAAGACAAGTCAAGTCATCTTCATTTATACAGCGCTTTAACAATATAGATGTTTTGAAGCAGCTTTACAGTGATAATAGGAGATTACAGTAACAGAGATTGTTTGGCTTTACAGCAGCTCTAGAATAAAGTTATTGTCCAGCTAAAGTTTTAATTGATTCACTTCCGTTGCAAAGATCATTAGTTATTAACTAAGGGGCCGCTAACACGACACCGCTCTAACAGAAAACCCTTAATGCGCTCCGGCCGCTCACCCGCACAGCAGCAGTGCCTGGTGCTCGCGAACGCAAACCTTGAAACCGGTTCCAAGGTGCAGGCTTGAATACATTTTTTTTTAAAGTGCACTTTGATGATG